ATCAAACTGTTATAACTCTGTTGGACATTCCTACTAGAATTCATCAAGTGCCACTATGTACGTGGAAGCACCTTTTACATTTATGGACCGCTCCCACTTTCTGTATTGCAGCTTGTAGAGGGCAAAGGTTAATGGTACTCCCTCGTCAGCAAGTCAAATGATACTGGTCATAATTATACTTAGCACTTCTTTTGCTCCTTTTGTAATTATTCAAAAAAACAGCAAAGGGTATCCATTATATTTTGCTGCAAAATACTGCTATGGAAATTCTTGCCACTGCATCATATGTTGCACCAGTATCAGTGACTACATATTATAGTTGGTGTGGAAGACAGACATTTGTTGTCCTGCCTAAGTTGAGGTTCATCTGGCGTTTCTGTTGGCTCTTCGTTTATGTGATAATTTACACAGATCCTATCCTCAACCGCCTTGCTCTGATTTTGCAAAATCGTTTCCTTTAGGGCGTCAAGCCATCTCATGTTTTTTTTTATCATGTGTTGTCAAGTCATCTCAAACTAATGGTGACCCTATGAATAAGCAGTCCTGTCTTCAACTGCCCTGCTCAGCTCTTTTAAACTCAAACTTGTGGCTTCCTTTAGGAAGTCAATCCACTTTGTATTTGGTCTTCCTCTTTTCCTGGTGACTTCCACCTTCCCCAGCATTATTATATTTTCCAGAGAACCCTGCCTTCTCATGATGGATCCAAGTAGGATAACCACAGCTTCAACATTTTTGCCTCCAGAGATAGTTCAGGCTTGATTTGCAAAGCTCTCCTCCAGCACCATACAGTATTTCAATTGAATCAATTCAAAATGAATCAATACTTTCTTTACTGTCCAGCTTTCACGCCTGTAAATAGTGATTGGAAATAACAAGATTGTGGATGATCTTAGTCTTGGTCTCCCATGTCACATCCTTACACTTGATGATCTTTTCTAATTCCTTTATTGCAAGCCTTCTGAGTCTCAGTCTTCTTCTGATTTCTTGGCTGCAGTCTCCATATGGATTGATGACTGAACCAAGTTATACAAAATGTCAAACTATTTCCATTTCTTCATTGTCAACATGAAAGTTGTGTACTCCTTCTGTAGTCATGATTTTTGCCTTCTTAACACTCAATTGCAGCCCTGTTTTGGTACTTACCTCCTTTTTAACATCAGTCTTTGATTTCCAAATGGCTTAGCTAATGGCTTAAAAGTTTCCTATAGATTAGCTTTATGCAAAAAGGTGATTTCCAAATGTGTTAACTAGGCCCCTAAACTCCCACAAGAGATGGTGGGAGTTCTGTTCATATGCATTTGAAATAGCCCTGTTCAGAAAAGGCAGCTGCTGACATAGAGATATGTTGGATTCTGATGTAAGGGTATGGTATTATCTAAAATCAATATGTCTAGAGTCCAACATAAAAGGTTTAATGTAGATTAAACATATAAAAGACACTGAAAAAAGGAAAAGACACTGGAGAAAACGAGATGAATTTACAAACAACAAGCTATAAGATCAACCACTAGATTGTGCTCTAGTGAAGATAAAGTGCTTGACTGAAATGGGGATGGTTTTGTAGTGCAGTATTTTAATGCACTTCTAATGAAAAATTTGATGTGATTGACTTTTTAGGGGGAAATGCCACAAAAAATTCAAACTGGATTTTGACAGCTTCTCATTAATAAGTCATTCAATAAAAATATTTCAGAAATTCAACTATTTCCCATAAACCAAGCAAGGCACTCTGAAAATTTGCCACCAACCTAACAGCACAAAAAGCATGTTTGCACCCATTGCTCTAGGAAAACACGTAAGTAATATAATCTTTGCGAAAGGCAACTGTGAGTCAGTTCAACTTGGATATCATTTTGCTGATTAGTATTGTGTGGATTGTATGAATGAACCAATGTGGTGCAATGGATGAACTAACCCTGCTAAGGTTGCCCTAAGTTAACTACACATAATACACGTGGTTGCAGATTGTGTGCATAGGAACTGAACTCATCGGTACTATTAAAGGTGCTGAGACATACATCTGAGTGAGGAGTAGGGTTGTACGTCTCCAGTATCTAAACCAACAGGATACTAGATGGTGGCCATAGATGTAGCACATTATCCCATTAGCTATAATACATTGGCAAAGGAGCCCTTCAACCTACATCTCCTTGTTATTTTAATGTATGCACAGAGATACACCAGGTGAATCCGTGTGCATTGAGTGTCTGTTACACTGACATATCACTGTGATGCCCTTCTGCCTGGAAAAAAAATCTTGCAGACCCTGCAAGACACAGTCTTGAAGCAGAACATAAGTTACACCTTCATCACTAACCAACTCAACTCCCGAGCTATCTGCAGCTGGGAAACATTGAAACCTTATGGTGCCCGGCCCTACTGGCTGGGGGATTCCCACAGTTCTGGTCCAAAAAAGTACCCTTTTCAGCTTCTATTCCATATAACCCGATCCTCAAACCAACTCAACTCCCCGAGCTATCTGCAGCTGGGAAACGTGACTTAATCGCACGTTGAAACCTTATGGTGCCGGGACATACGGGCTGCGGGATTCCCACAGTCCTGGTCCAAAAAAGTACCCTTCTCAGCTTCTATTCCATATAACCCGATCCTCAAAAACCATTATGTGGTTACTCATAAGCAAGGAATCCGTGAAGGTTTTAGGACTTCCTTCAAGAACCCTATTCCCCGAAGTGTTTCCAGCTTGGCTTGGGGTGCCGAGTGGAAACGATGTGGGCGGTTTAACGCGAGCTGGGAGCCCGGAGTCGCTGCCGTCTAGACGGAACCGGTTTGCTTCCAAAGCCACTTTGATGCGCGCTCACATCTCTTCCCCCTCCCTCACGGCTTTTGCCAAACAAAACGGGGCAAGAAGAAGGTATCGACCCTGGACCTGCAAACTGCCTCGAAAGAAAGAGGAAAAGGGGAGAAGAGGCCGGCCGGCTGGCGGTAAGACAGGAAAACCCAACCAAGCCGCCCGAGACGCGCAGCAGGATGAGGGCTCCACGCTCCCTAACCAGGGCTGCAGGGGGCCAAAGAAGGTCCAGGCGTCCAGCAAGAGATCCGAGCCGGCCATCATCTCCCGCTCTAACCGCTCCTTCCTTTTCTCCCGCCTGCAGCCGGCGCTGCTGCGTTCATCGCCCCAGGCCCCGGGCTTCCCAATTCAACCAGACCTTCCAATTCGCCCAACCACCGACTTAGTCCCGGGCGGCTTCCTCTTCCTTGTCTCGACCAAAACGGCTGGATCCTGACAGGCAGCGGCCACAACAAGCTAGCAAACGAGCCTTTCCAGGCACCCCCTCTGGGCGTCCCGTCGTTCAACTCCCAGGCTCTCCAACCAGCACCGCCAATTACAGACAAGGATCTTAGGAGGTGCAGGCCAAAGAACTTCATGGGGCCAACTTTCTGCACCATCGGGAGCTAGGATGTTGTTACACCATCCGGCGGGCGCCCGTTTAAGCATTCGGCGGAGGCGCGCAGAAGATCTACTCTAGGACCTTTTCGTTCGTTAGTGACCGTGAAAACACCTGAGGCTCGCAGGTTTCTAGTTAAAACCAAAAGACTATTGAATTTGCCCTAACTGGGGTGGGTCGGTGAGATGGGAAAGGTAAGCTTTCCCTCTGGCTCCTATGTCCATCCCAGAGACCAGACTCTGGATCAGCATTATCTTAAGATCCGAGGTAGCGTGTGGGACTAGCAGTGTGTTCAAGCCTGTCTCTGCCTCCAGAGATGCTTTCTGGATTGTTCGACCCCCTCCGTTCGATGGCACTTATTCCGGAATATAAGAGTCCCTGGGATCGCAGACACTGAACACCCCCAGCCTATGCACATGCCCCCCCAAGAAAGTCCCACGGGCGTCAGGGGGGGGATCTACAATACAACAATAATGCCCTCTGAGTTCAGTTAGACTGACTACTGATACATCGATGTATTGCGGAGTGCAATCTTCAGCTGCTCTTCTAAGCACGTTTACCTGAGGATAACCCTGTGGGTCCTGATTCCTACTCAATGTGCAGATGCAGATTTGGACCAAGGCCAAAGAACCGGGTGAAATCGTTGCGCCTAAATTCTAAGCACAGAAACCAGCCCCTCCTAGTTTTAGTGGGACTTCCCGTCTAGCCAGACAAGGAAATCACAAAACACACGAAATGCAGAAAGCTTCAATACTTAGGTGGCATCATGATGAACACCAAGAACAGACGATTTCAGCTGATCGGTTAAGGTAAAAAAAAATTTCAGGAAGGCGATTAACTTCTTGGGGGTGGGCGCGATGGAGAGTGCCATGCAGTCTTACTGTTCAGAGCTGCCCTCATCAAACACTCAGACCAGCAAGGATGACGCCCATCCTCTGGTAGAAAAGAAACAAGGAAAATATTCCCTCTTTTGCGAGTCTGTTTAGGCTTGAGCCCTGAAAGCCAGAGTAATCTGTGAACCTCTGACGGGCTTTGCTGTTGGAAAGGATGGCCAGCAACACCCAGCCCCCCAAATCCACCAGAAGAAGCATCTGCCAGAGTTTCTGTTCTCACTGCAAGCATCTGTTTGAACACCAGTTTTCCTCTTCGATAAACTTTGGAGACGAGTGTGTCGTTGACCCGAGAGCAATCCAGGTGGTCTCCTGGTGCACTTTTTAAAAAGACGTCTCCATCCTGCTACTTCTGCATTTTAAAATCTCTTACAGAAGATGGTTTTCCAAGAAACAAATAAAGCACTTAGAGGACCGTGAAAGTGCAAGGAGAGGATATTCGGCGTTCCAGAGGGGGCGGAGGCCATATGTTCTAGGAGTACAACGACTACAATAGTTCAGCCGGTATGACCACTGGTGATACTGGCTGGACTATTATGGGAGCTGAAGGCCCAAACCAGAAAGGTTTCCCATTGCCAGGTATCTCATTGCCACGTTTAACCCATTTCTGTTTCCCTGCCTCCTCTTCTCCCCCCTCCCCAATCCCGCCTCTGGTCTCCAGACCTCCCCCCTGCTTGTAGGCGCTAGGTGGCAAACCCCTTACCTGGCTATACTTGGCCTCTTGTTCCAGGGAGCCCTTGTCCAACCCGTTCACCGCGACGTGCTGAGCCGTGGCCGCGAAGCCGCTTCTGCTGAGGCTGCTCCACTCTTCCACCTTGGGGCTGTGATAGGGCGAGCTGTCGCTCACTGCGGGCAAACACACGACAAAAGGGAGGGAAGGTGAGCAGAGTTTTCTCTAACCCCGGATCTCGAGCAGGCGATTGACTCAATAACAGGGCTCTCTGAGAGGCAGGGCGGTGCAGGGGAGAGAAAATCGGACTGCGTCTCGGGAGACCTGGGCTCAAATCTCCCTCCGCTCAGGCCGTGGAAACTCGGTCGTGGTGGGGAGTCCCAAGGTAAACCCCTCCCTGAACTTCTCACATACCTTGTTAGCTTCGCCAGAAGCCGCTGGATGGCACAAAAAATCCGGCACAACCTTGGTCAAAACGCGCCGGCTTGCGCAAGATGGCTCTGGAGGTCAACCTATCTGTCCATGGGCCCCGATCCCTTCCCGAAAGGAAACAGAAATCGGTAGGAAAAAAAGCTACCACGTATGGAACAAGATTCGAAACTTACATTCGCGCCACAGCACTTTCGTTGTCTTTACGTGCCGTCAAGTTGAAACCGAGCAGAAGTCACTCGAATAGGGCTTTCAAGGTAAGTGAGATATTTAGAAAAGTGGGTTTTTACCAGCTCTACTTCCCTAGTGAGCTTCCATGGCGGAGCGAGGATTTGAACCCAGGTCTACCTAAATCCTAGTCCGGCACTCTGTCCACTACACCACAGGGGATATCCCACAGCACATTTACCCTGTAGCAAATGCGATTCTTTTTAGTTGCATTACTCTCTCCACGTCGGTACAGTGCGAATATCCTACCGCTTGGGGCTAAATCCTTTTGAGATCTGTGGGACCTTCTTCTTTAAGAAATCTGTTTTGGAGCCACCTTTTGGAGGGGGGTGTTCAATCCATTCATTCCAATTAACTCTCCCCCCCCCCGAAACTCAAAACGCACCAAGTTTAATCAGCGCTGATGTAAAGGAAGACGTTTGTTTTAGAAAACCTTCTTTAAGAAAAGGGCTTCGGGTGATGGGAAATAAGCCACCGATGGAAAAACATACCTACATGGGCACCGGAGCCGTGTATAAAAGTTTGCTCTGAAGAAAATCTCGCTCTCTTCTTTGAGAATTACTTCCACAGAGGAACTGCTTAGGACTGCAGCGTTGCAGGGATCTGATATGCACGTTTATTAGGATGCGAGTCCTCTTAATGTCAATGAAGATTACTCTAGAGTAAATATGACTAGGGCTACATTCGTGGGTCGATATGTTTCGAGTTGAGTGGCTCTTAGACATGTTCCGGATCTGGCCTTCAAGTCCCACTCGTCTCAGAGTAACTTGAAATACATAGAGGATTACTGTTTCGTCGCGCTAGATAAGGTGACGTCAAACCTTTTTAAGACGGAGGTACCAGCTCAATGATTTTAGGGCTGCATCGGGGTTTGCTGTTATCTGGGAGTAAACTCTCTCAAACATAACGAGTCTTCCTACCGAATACATTTTCAGCCTTTAGCCTTAGCACGCCCTGGTCAGCCAGTTCAGAGAGGCTGCGGAGCTCATCAATCGACACATTAGGTGAAATGAGAAAAACCTCAGCTGCAGACTTAAGCTCTCGGGAAGTCTTTCGCATCACAGGAAGCTTATGCTGTAGGGTTGAGAGATCTGGTGCACACTTTTTTTGAAAAAGTCCCACTGAAATCCAGGGAACTTCTGAGTGGACTACGCACGCTTACAGTTTCGTCGGAATCAAGAAGACTTGGCCATCCCTTCTGAGATCGCCTCTCCCCCCCCCTTCAACCTCTCTCATCCCTTCTCTCTCAGCAAAACTGAACACGAGCCCGCCTTCCAGGATACCTTTGCAACAGATGCTGGACTCCCGGGATCCTGATGTAACCTACCACTGGGCATATTACTTACTAAAGTGAGAGTGCGCATGCTCGGGATCACCTAACACAGTCACAGACAACTGACGCCTCACCGCACAGGAGATGCTAAGCGTGTACTGCTTTGCAAACATTACTGCCTTTGTTTTTTTATTATTAATTCTTTTTTAAAAGTTGTTGAAGCCTGTGTGGGTAATTCATTAAGAGAATAAACACAATAGAATAAAACTAGTACGAATGTAAAATGGGACTTACTGGTGTATTTCTGAGCGATTTTTGGCACATGGGACAGGATTTCTGGCTCCTGCCTTTAAAACGCTTTTGAATGGCTGCCGATACTCCCATAATGAGAACTGGTTCAATGTATCTTGGTGTGTGTCTGTGTGTATGCCAGGAAACCAAGCGTGTGCCGATGTGTGAGAGAGACAGTGTAAGGATGTCCGAGTTCACTTTAGTTCTGGTAATTAGAATAAATTATTGGGCTCGGAAGTAGTTTAATTCGACGCTTACGTCGCTCGCCGGCACCTGAGATGGGTGGGTCTTGGGGGGTACGTCTGGTTAAACAAACATACACGAAATAGATTCCCAAAGAAGCCTGGAATCTGCCCATTCTTCAGGTACAGTCCATTTACCCCGCCTTGCAGACCTAAAGAGACAAGCCTTTCCTCCACTCACTGAAGCAACTCAGACTATAATAAATAGTTCTTAGTCCTAAATAAACTAGATCAGACTCCACAAGTCTTTCAATTGGACTCTCGGCCACATAAAGGTGGTAAAAATGGAGTTGTGAGACCTCACACTATTTAATCGGGAAGAGCTTCAATAAGGTCGTCCTTTAACTCAAGAGATTTTAATTCTCCAGATAAGCAAAACCTTCATGTTAAATTCCCCCTTAGAAACCTAGGAATATTTCTAAAGCCACTTTAATGTTCCTAGGTAGAAATTTGTTTACGGTTGTGTAAATATTAGATCTCTACCTCCTTCTATGTAAATAGGCTTAAACAATTAAACTGAATTATTTGCAGTTCATGAGGGCACTGAATCTTTCAGAGGAGAAAGCCATACAGTTCGACATTAGTTTTGCCCTAGAGAAAATTAAGGTGAATGTAATACTCACAGGCACAAAATAATTCTTTTGATTCAATGAAATGTCAAACTGCCTACACTAGGATCATCAACACCTGAGGGATTTATATAAAACTCCCATTTATTCTAGTGGAAATTATTATAAAATTCCACCTAACTGCTGTGGATTTGGCTACATCTCTTTTGATCATAGCTTTTGACTTCCTAAGGACAGTCCAGCATTTACGACAGGGAAGACAGGAGGTGCTATCCAGTCATTCACTTTCAAGAATAAACTAGAACACATTTGTGTATTTTATATAACATGTACAATTCAGATAATGTGGGCTACATCATAGAGAAACTACCCCCTCCTTTAAATACATCACACGTGATTGTGCTTTCATCCCTGAATCTGCTTACTCTAAAGGAATCCATCTGATTTTAGTGCTTCCACCTGGTGTAGGTAAATTACAACCATTCTTTGGGGTAGACAGCGGAAATGCATTGAAACAGAGACAATTCGATCCTAATCACGTTATGCATGGGTATTAAGTTTATTTAGGATAAACCTGAGTGGAAAGATCTGACATTTTCCTTCCAAGCAGTTTTCAGCATTTCCCTCCCCTCGAATTATTTCAGCATAAAAAGGAAGAAGGAAATTACAGGGCCTAACCAGATGAACGAAACAAGTCTTAAAAACTGCTCAAATCCTCCCATTCTCCTCCATTTCTGACAGCCACTGCAGAGCGATAACTATTTGTGGCATGATTATTTCAGAAGTCACTACGATGGAATGAGGTTAACTTGCTGTTGTTGAAAAGATACCAAAAGATTCTTACAGCGAAGCCATGAAAAATGACTGGGAAGTTTTCCTTTCGAAACACTGCGTGGAAGAGCAGCATTTCTTTAGAAACGGATGGGTTGCAGCCTTCACCAGAAATCGGCACTGTCTGTACTGTAACTTTTTCCTCTACTCCAATTCAAAAATCCCATCTATATAAACATATTCTCTTTTCAAAGAGGTGACCCACGGTTTTTTTCTTTTGTTTTAAAGCAAGTTACCCAAAAATCACGAGGCTGCTGCTGCTGCTGCCTGTTTAACCTTCCAAGACAATGCCGTAGAATCTCAGCATTTAGGACCCCTTGAGAAACAGTCCTATGGATTTCAACTGGTCAGGAGGGCTTCTAAAGTCACGGCGTCCTTTGGAAAAGCTGCCAGGGAGGCAGCGATCCTTCGTTCAGTGGATCCACGAAGCGGTTAATGCCCGAGAGCCAACGCTTCGTTTTAGTGACTTGTGCGACCCAGCTGATGAGCAGAGTGGCGAGAAATAGGACTTTGCGTGACCTAGAGGGCACACCAAATTCTACGGGTGCCCGACAGGGACACAAGACCCTCGCGCTGATTTATTTTTTTACTGCTTTTTTTTAAAAGGGGCGTTTGCCATCCACATGCAAAGTGCAGGAAGCCTCTCGGCGAAAGTTACCTTTGTGAGGAAACGGGGTTGGGGGGGGGAGAGAGAGACGCCAGGCGTTATTCCTCCTCTCCTGCCGCCGGCCACCACCGCAGCTCACCCGGCACATGTCTCAAGTTGTCTTAAGAAAACCAAGCTGTCTCGCATAAGCTCCCTTTTCTGCTGATCTCTCACTTTCCCATGAACAGGGGCTTCCTTTCCGTGTCAGCAAGGTCAGCTTACCCTATAAATCAAGAAGCAGTCAGCTCCGCAAAAGGGAATGGGGCCGGGCAAGGCAGAGCCGGGCTAACAATCATCCTTGGCCGCCCAGTCGTCTTCATCTGCGAGGCTCAGGAAGGCCCGCAGATATCATGGAGGATATCATGAACCAAGACACCCCGTCCATCCCCTGATTCTCCCTCCGTCCGTTCTCTCGGCCCTCTCCCCAGTCCAGAAAACACCGCTAACAGTTGAAACACACCGGGTTATTCCTCCCGCCCGCGCAATTTCTTTTCTGAAGGATTGGAAAGATTTGTTTTCTCAGAAAAAAAAACTATTTGGAATCTTTAAAAGTACACCCGGTGGGAGGATCAATAATTCTATGTTTTCATGTTCTGGTTTTTATTGTCCCCCTTCCCTTGCCCAAAGAAAGCGGTGTGGGGTAATTTTTAAAAGCGAAGGTTATTTCATTAGCCTTTAACAATGCTACAGGAAGAAGACTATGGAAGCTTTTGGATCGGTCTTCGGCACACTTTTCCTGAACTTAAACCCCACCAGGCAGAAAGCCTACGGGAGTTCTGTATAAAAATGTCTGAAGCGGGGAGTAGCAGCAGATAGGAGAATATTTAATATACTGTACTGTGTTTAATTTAAATCTCGGCTTAAGCTAATCGCGCGCGCCTTTAAAAAAAGTAGGTTTCGAATTCTGGAGCAAAGTTAGTAGAGGCGAACACAGCAGCGAGCCCTCGGAGGGGGCTAAATGCTAGTTCAACATCAGTAGTTTCAGTTTTCTGGACCACCGCTTCGGAGGAAAACAACGTGAAGCAGAAGAACGAAAGCAATTAGGTGACATTTGAACTTCCTGTCTGAGCAAATTTGGCCTGATTGCAAGGACTTGAGGTGGATTTGCTTGCAATTTCAAGGAGATGCCTTTCCTGCGGAATCCCTGACTTGAAAGCAAACAACAGACACAAAGGATTTGATAAGTAAAGTAAATATACCTTGTAGAGACGTGGGGGAGAGGGCAGGAGTCACATACATACATACATACATACATACATACATACATACATACATACATACATACATACATACATACATACACACACACACACACACACACATACATACGTGTAGCTAGCTAGCTAGCTAGCTAGAATATATACAGTATTGTTTTATAATAATGTATAATATAATGTGATTTTATTTTTCAGTATTATATGCTAAATACATTTAGCATACCATATATTGTGTTGTACTATATGAAGGGCCACTCCATGCATCTTTTCAAAGTCTCAGACTACAGAAACCTAGACACAATTAAGTGTCCCAATAAACTTGTTCTAATGATCTCTCAGGATTTATTTTTTGCAATCTTGTATGGAAAGGAAACAGATACAATTACTACTGCTTCTTTTATTGTTGATGTTATATAGGCACCTTAACTTCATAAAGCCATCATTGTTTAGGCAAGGTTTATATCACTTAAACATATTCCACTGACAGTGCAATGCTAATATGGCATTAGCAACTATATTTACTGTTACAGTGATAGGGCTGAGTGCTATATCAGTTAGAAATAAGATAGAGCTCTGTTTATTCAGAAGTAAGTCAGAAGTAAGTTTACAGAGTGTTAAAGCCTATGGACAAAGGAATCCTGTAGCTCTGTTTATTCAGAAGTAAGCTTACAGTGTGTTAAAGCCTATGGACAAAGGAATCCTGAGCATGCTTAGTCGGAAGTAAGTCCAGCTAACTTCAGTGAGACTTATTTCCTTTTAATAAATGTAAAGAGTGTTGAGCATTTGATATTGCTAGATTAGGTTCTTTGTAAAATTGGAAGCAAGACTGCAATCCTGAACAAGTCAGGAGATACAACAAACATACTTAAACCATGTTCATATGTGCATTGTTTGCTTTCATGTATTTAATTTTAGTTAGCTCAATTTTAGTTGGCTTGTATTGCTATATTTCTTGGTGGTAGCAACAAATATATATAGCAATAGAAAAACAATGAATACTCAGCATATGTATACTTACTTATTATATGCTTCTTGTGATGAAGAATATAGCTGACATGAAGATAATCTACATATTTGAGTACTAGCATTCAAAATAAGGGATGGGAGTGCTGTTCTAGGAACATATTTTGGTTGCTGCTGTTTTTGGTTTTTTGGTTTTTTGCTTTGTTTGTTTGTTTTTAAAGAAAACCTCAATATCCTTTCAATATCGTCTTTGTTTAAATTGCTAATGGCTAAATAGAAAGTTATTTAGAAGACATGCTTTCGGTGCAGTAGTCCCTGAGAACAATTCTAAAATCCACAGTAAAAACAGTGCCTTTAGTAAAGACCAAATGAACATGTGTACAATTATGGGCAAGCTTTTGAGGGTTCTAGATCTCTTCATCAGACACAATTTTACAGGTAAAAGAAAGGGCTATCTTGAAGGCTGAGTTTACTTGAAGCGAGTCCCACTGAGAGAGAATAGTGGAGCTCATTTCCAAGTTGATGGGTTAAAACTGGTTAATGCCAGCATCTCCATAGCACTTAGCAGGACCAAAGAAAGCCTGTGTAATTTCTGCTTAAATTCACACCTTGGCCAAGATAGAGTAAATGCTATGGCAACTGAAACCAAGGAAACCTTCCTAAGGAAACCATCCAGAGAGAGAGCGCGAGAGAGAGAGAGAGAGCAAGGCCATGTTCTTTTGGAGGTGATATGATGGTTTACTAGTTACTCTCCAAGGAGGCCAGTCCAAGACATTTTGCTGTCCGAGAAACAGCAGCAAATGAAACCCCTACTCATTCCAAATCAAAATGCGTATCATCCACCACAGCCAGGTGACTCTGACACCTAGAGAAGAAAATCCCACAGGGTTTCTCTCCCTTGTATTTCAAATCCAGCAATGATAACTCTTGTGGCTAACTATGTACTGCTCTTTTGACCCCCTAAATATGCTGCCTGAGCCTGCTTCCTCGGGGCGCCTAACGGAAGGGTGAGTCTGCCCGGAGGTCTGAAATTCTTACCTTGGTCTGTTATGGACCGGATTCCTAAGATGTCGGTGACGGAGTGGGACGACGGCCAGGTCCGAGGCATGTGGACGGTGCTGTGGATGGTCGGCACGCCCGGCGGGGTAGGCCCCTTGGCTCCCGCGGTAGCGATCGGACTCGGGTAGGAGTAGATGTGGTTATAAGGCAGGGCGGGTTGCGGAGCGGCCTGGTGCTGTTTGTAGGAATCGTAGTGACTTTGCTGCGAGAGATTCCCGATTTTGTTGCGCAGGATTCGGCTGATGGAGCTGACCGAGGGCACATTGTATTTATCGCACACGCCGTCGGCCAGCAGCCGGTCCCGGATCTCCCAGGCGAAGATCCCGGGGTCCCTTTGTTTGTAGGTCCGGATATGTTTCACCACCGTCGGGGTGGTGACCCGCGGCTTGCTGCCTCCGATAGCTCCGGGTAAGATGGAACCGGTCTCGTTGTAGCGAGCCAGGATCTTGCTGACACAGCCGTGGGAGACGCGCAGTTGCCGGCTGATGTCGCACGGCCGGATGCCTAGCTGGGCCAGTTCAACGATCCGGAGCCGGATGGCGTTCGGCAAAGGGCGCCCGTTGACGAAGACTCCGCCGAGCTGGTTCACTTCCCCGAAGGCGGGCTCTGCAAGCGGACAGAGGCACNNNNGGCCGGGGGGGGGGGGGGACGGCGCACACGCATCACCTCGAACCCATTCCCAGGCCCAGCTTCGAGAAACACGGGTTTTCTAGAGGAAACCTCTTTTCATTCCCTGGAGGGCTCCATTTCGAGTAAGACATGTTTACAGATGTGAGCTGCAGGCCCTTAATTTGGGGGGGGGGGAGCGGGTCTTACTCTCCGAAACAGACCGCTGGTTGGGTTGATCTGGGAGCGGAGAGCACCTCGGCCTAGTTTTGCTTGCCCGTCCATGCAAGGCTGCCCCGAACCCTTTGGCTCTGAAAGCGAGCAAAGCCCTGGGCCTGCTCTGGGCTCGTCCCTTAGGGCGGAAGTAGTCCCATTGAATTGAACGGGGCTTGCCCCTGCCCCATCCGCGGCCAGCGCCTGAGGGAAGAGGGCAGCAGCTCAGGTCTTGCCAGACCTTCTCAGGGATTGTCGTTCAGAAACATCACCAGGCTGTTTGGGAAGTTGCGCGGTAATTGGCGATTTAAGGCGCCCACTCCGCCCGAGGGGTCACCGAAATTCTGATACGGTTGACTGACAGAAGGGCTGGCGG